CGACCAAGCTGCCTGTGTTTTAAATGAGATCCAGTATAATTTTCGATGTTTCTTATCGCAAAACAGAGTGCCACGCACCTTCGATGATTTTTAAAAGTTTACTTAAAGTAGACAAATCAAGTCCATCTCTTGCAGAATCCTGGCCAGTATGGGGCTTGAACCCATGACCTTGGCGTTATTAGCACCACGCTCTGACCAGCTGAGCTAACCGGCCTGATGTTTGATGTGTCATTTGACCAAATGTGTTCAAAAATAACATTTTATGTGGTTATAGAAAATGGGCAAATTCACAAGGGAGGGAACAACCAGCCATGGTCTTATTAGAATAAGTCTGCCTTTTTTAAGAGTTACTGAGATTTGAGATTAATGTGGCGATATTAGGTATACATATTTGTTTCCAGTGGGCTACAGTGTGCAGACTGTGAGGTAATGGTGCCCAGAAAACATGAGGAGCAAATTTCACATTGAGGCAGCTTAATATTTGTGAGACCAATAAGACCATGATAGTTTGTTCATTCCCCCACCAATTAAGTCTCCATTTTTATCACCAGATTTAGTTTCGTTTTTGAACAAATTTAGTCAAAAAGCTTGCAAACGTCAGGCCGGTTGGCTCAGCTGGTTAGAGCTTGGTGCTAACAATGCCAAGGTCATGGGTTCAATTCCCATACTGGACAGGATTTGACAAATTAGTACTTGATCAGCCCAGTGTGGGGGCTGAACCTGTGACTGTGGCATTATTAACACCACGCTCTGACCAGCTGAGCTAACTGGTCTGTTTTAGCGAGGTGTTTTTTTTCTTTTTTTTCTCCAAATTTGTTTAAATATCTGGAATGAAAAAGGGGCACATTGGTGAAGGACTGAACAAATGACCATGATCCTATTCGCATCACTCTGGAGTTATTGATGTTTGTTCCCCCCTTTTTAGGCCACCTTTACTTTGCATACTGTATTTCAGTTTCCTATAAATGCAAGCAAGTCATCTAACCACCATTGTTTCTGTATTTATCATGTGGATTCCTGAAATCTGGTCAGTGTGGGGATTCGACCCATTACCTTAGTGTTATTAACTAACTGGCCTGTTTTGCAAGACTTCTTTGACTAAATTTGTTCCTAAATGACTGAATCTGTGACATAAAGTGGATAAAATTGACGAGTGATTTATCAGCCAACCTTGACCTTGTTGGCATCACTCTCTAATCTGATTGAATGGGCGTTGAACCCATGACTCGGACCAGCTGAGCTAACCGCTGTTGAGAGAGCTTTTAGATCAAATCTTTATCAAATTAATTTGTGACAAAGAAATGCTCAAGTGACGATATAATTTTTTTTATCATAATATGAATGACTATATAATATCATAGTACAGATGTTTTAAATGGATAATATATTAAAAATGGTTTGTTGTTTTACATTTATCAGCATTTATCCTTGTCTAAGTTCCATTTAAATACGATATCTGCATCTAGTGGATGTGACTATGATGAATAAAGCCTGCTGAATGAGGTGTTTTTTTAATCACATTTGCAGAGAGAAGTTAGATTATCTCACACAGAAACACTGGATGCTATCTCTTCATCTCTAATTTACTGTTTGTCACTTGTGTGAATCTAAAATGTCATGTTCCTCCATTCAGATGAAGGCGTTTTGCTTTAAAGTTCCCTCGCTAATAATTGTTTTTATCACTTCCAGCTGAGGGAGCGTCGTACACGGTCCTGATCGGGAACAGGGAGTGGATGAGGAGGAACGGCCACCACATCGGGGCGGACGTGGACGCCGCCATGACGAGCCACGAAACCAAAGGACAGACGGCCATACTGGTGGCCATAGACGGTGAGGATTAAATAACCTTCGACGGTCTGGTGTTACGAGAACTGCACTCTGTCTGAGCCAGCTGCAACGTCTTTAAGGAGTTTTTAGGTAAAACCTTTCCATGTTTAAACTGAATCTGGTTCTAGAAAAGGTGCAAGCAATCATTGGACCAGCATTAATATAAAACAGCACATTTATTGTCATCCTGGCCAGTATGGGGATTGAACCCATGACCTTGGCGTTATTAGCACCACGCTCTGACCAGCTGAGCTAACCGGCCTGATGTTTGACCTTTTTTT